GCAGAAAAAATTCCCTATATTTTTTTTTAATTCCTCCAAAATATTTGTAACCGTAAAGAGGCCTTATTGTGTGAATGTGTTTGAAATAATTTATAATCAAAAGTCCAACTCACCAGTCATTCTCAGTCTCCACCCTAAGCAACATGCAAAGGGGAAAGAAATGTCATCAAAAACTGAAAGGTGATGAATTGTTTTAATGTGTATGAGGATATCCAGGTCCCACTGAAATCAACGGCAAAGCTTTCATTGAATTCAGCAGAGAAAGGATTTCAGTCATCTATTAAAACAAAGAAAGAACAACCATAATCTTCTCAAAATTAATAAGTAAATACAATTTAAAAAATACACCTTGGGGTTTGTTTGAATGGTCTTTTAAATTTATGCCAGTGATAGCTTAGAGTGTACAGAGATGCTTGCAGAAAAATTAAATTAAGTTTTACCTGAAATGAAGTTACTGCATTCAGTCTGATTTATAGTTTCCCAGGAAAAGATAAATTAATGTTTGTTTTGTTCTGTTTTGTATGTAGGTGAGTATATACCTATCTCTGCTGCTCCTCATTTCTGTCAGGACGAGAATCAGTAGGCAAGAAAAGCTGTTGTAGTATTTCACAAAGCCAGGCAATATCCAAAGTCTCTCACAAGAGCTTTTCTCTTGAGATTTCCTGACAACAGGGTTTTAGATAAATGCAGATAAGCCCTGTATAAGTATCTGAACTTTAGAAGGCTTATCTGAACCAAAACATCTCCAAACTTCTGGTATTCAGTCCCACTAGGTAGTGTTTGTTATACACATGCCTCTCCACAAGAAGGTACTAGTGGCTGTATTTTGTTGCCTTCCTTACCTCAGTTTCTCAGAGTGGATGGGATGAGCTGACAATTCCTTCCAGAGTCAGTGTTTCTATAAGCACATAGAGCATCTAGAGAAATACAGAGAAGAAACTCTTAGAGCACCTTACTTTTCCAGCTCCCAGGCAGCATTCCCATGACACTATGCAGAGTAACTCACGTGCATCCCTAAATTTAGATTCTACTCAGCACTGGCACACTAGTACACTGGTTTTACCAGGCCTGTTTTCAAGTGTTGCATTGTTAGCATATTTCTGTTATCTCCCCTCCCCCCCATTGTCCAATAATTAGTTGACATCCCATGAGAATAACACAAAGACATTGTCAAAGCTGGTAAAGGCAATTCAGATTGAAACGCCTTTTTCTTGGTCTCTGTTGAATCTTACTTGCATTTCCACAAGTATCCTCAGTCCCTCGCCCATTATTCAGAAATAAATAGTTCCATCTCAGATGTTTATTTGCTTTAGGGCTGTTCTCTTTGCTCCAGTCTCTTCCCAAGAAAACCATTATATGCTGCTTCTTTTTTTTTCCCCCAGGAAAAAAATTTTACCTGAATTTCGCATTCAGTAACACATCACTGCTTTAATTCACACTTTTCATGCTCCCTGGATTCCTCTTTGTACTCCATAAAGCTCCACTTCTGCATAGAGTCTACAGAAAAACTTGACTAAATGCAAAGTCATTGCATGTCTTGCTGAATGATTCTGTCATCTTGTACTCTGCTATGTACATATATCCTTATTTCATTCTTGTGAAAGCATTGCATGCTTTTGAAGGTGAGGTCTTTTTGTACACATAATTCTTACAACCTGTACATAAAATGCGGTCCAGTACTAGTATTCCTGGTGAAAATATAGCATTAATTACATTATTAAGGAAAAGTAACAATATCGATAGATTTTTCAGTAGTCAATTGCACTTGAATTCCATATTGTAGTCAACACTGAATCATCAAAACTACCTTGTTTTTCCTTGTGTAACCCACTGTTCATACATACTATGATCCTTCTTTATGCAGCTGATCCATGGACATTTGTAGTCTTGTTACTGTTCCTAGCTAAAAAAATCAGTACTTTCAATTAAAAGATGGGGTTCATAGGGTACAGTGCAAAAGACCTATATAAGTTCCTATTTAATTTTTTTCTTTGTCTGTGTACATAGTTGGAGAAAACCCACTGCATTTACTGCTTCAGAAATGACATTTTTTGTTGGTGTTAATATTACTTAATATGCAACAATCTAAAAGTGAGCTGCTCAAATTGAGAGGAAATTAATTTATTCAACAAATGGGATTGCTTTCTTAAATCAGAAATAGCTCTTTCCATAATATCCATTTACCAAGTCCTTCATTCTCATTTATTTAAACTTTTGTCAGCAGTAGCTGTGAGGGACATCAATGGGGCTAGATGAAGCTGAGATGTGAATGGAAACCCTGTGACTGTTCCTCTCAGACTTGACCAAGAGTGCATATCTTACATTGGGCATCACTAGTGGGAAATGGGGTCCACAGGACTTTAATACCTCTATGTAATCATCCTCTAGAAATGTTGTAGCAAATATAGATGTCTCTATGCTCCCTGGACACTCTGAATATTGCAGCTTGAGATTTTGATGGAAGAAAATCACAACAGTGTGATTAATTGGTAAATGATTTAGCAATAAAAACTGCAGCTAGGGGTGTAGTCTCCTTGTGCTTTAGGTTATTTGCAGTAAAAATTCCTGATACTTTCTGTACATCCTCTATACAAAGCTTCACTTCTCAGATCTCCATGTCTCAGCTCATGGATCTCAAGACACATACGGCTCTGAACATTGTCATGAAACTTGGAGCAGATTTCACGTGGCTTAGCTGGGCCACAGAAGCATGCAAAGTGCTAAAAATGCAAAAGCAGAAATAGTCTCTGATTAAAGATAATCTTGTTGGTTGTAAGGACCTTGGGCTTACAAATTATTCCTGTGCAACACCTAACAGCAGAAGTATAAGGAAGTGTTGTTAACAGCTCCACTAGAACTGAGACACTCAGGAAGAAATGGAAATCACAGTAGTACCAGCAGCATTTCAGTCTCTAGTTACTCGGAGTAAAGGCTAGTGGAAGACAGTTAGAAGGAAGCTTTTTTCTGACAGTAACTGATAGACTAGAGGTACTTAACAGTTTCAGTTAAATTGGGCAGAGTAAGCAAACAAACCACATTTGAGAAATTAGAAGAGTTGTATATTTCAGTGGCACAGGAAAGTGGAGCTGTGGAACAGCTTGTGTGCAATTTGAGGCTGAAGAGTCTTCTATTTTGAGGAGACAGCCACGGTCCCTAGCATGAGTCTCTGGAACAGCGTGTCAGAGAGAGACTCCTGGAAACTCAAGAGATAGACAATAACAGAATACTAAAATATATAAAAGAAAATGAAGCTCCAAACAAGCATGTAGAGGATCAGCACTACTCTGATGCTCGATATGTGCTTAAGAAAACTGAGTACTATAAAGCACGCTAACTACACAAAGGAATTTGTAGCTTTAAGTCCAGTATACTCAGAGTTTCAGCAGGGAGAATTAAGCACACAAGACACTGGGTGAAACATTCTGTAAAACATGCGAGGATTTTCTGCTTCATTTTGTCAAGACAATAACAAGGGAAATGCATTGAACAGATCTGCTTAAAACAAGAAAGAACCGGAACATGTCAAGATGATGCTTAATGTTAAGTACTGTTGTCAGAAAATCAGTAGAAGTATGGTTTGGGGAGACCCTGAGTATTGGTAAATACATTGTCTACATGATAGGCAAAATAACTTTATTTATGAAACCACCATGGACAGACTGTGGGATTAATATACTCTATGAAAATAGCATTTTTTCTATCAAACATACACATCTTTTGTTTTGGTTTAGGAAGCATGCTGTGCAGCATTTCAATTAATTTTTTTCATTCCCTGTTTGTATATATTTTTTCATGCGGAAGAAAAGTCTATTGTGGTACCTAGAGAAGTGAACGTTACTTCATTTTTCCTTTATCTTCATGTTAATTTATGCAAGGGATAATAGCATATTTGCCTCTTGGATCTACTGGCTTCAGAAAATATTCCTATACCATAAATATTTTTAAGGTAAAGAAAAGATTCTTGCTTAAAGGCTTATTGTCCTGTGTTTGTGCTGTTTTGTATGGTAATAAAACCTGGTTTCTTATCCACATTCATAACAGTAAAACATCACAAAAAGAAAACTGTAGTTCCACTAAATACATCAACACCCAAAGCCATGAAGCACAAACTGGAGGTAACGAATTTGGCTTTTTGTGGATGATCAGTTAAAAAAAGCATTTAGGTTAGCTATTCTTATACTCTTGTATTCTTCTCCATCAAAATGGGGATTAATATCCCAGAGGAAAAATAAGAATTATAGCTTCCTCCTTTCCTCTACTGAACTCTCAATTTTCTAATTAATAACATTCATGGAATAATTAATTAAATTGCTGTAGCTTTTTGTATTAAAAAAAAAAAAAAAAAAAAAAAAAAAAAAAACTCAAACCCAAAAACCCAGAAAACCCCAAAACATTAGCCTTATTTCTACTGTTGTCCAATTAATTGATAAAAGAGGAAGATGTTTTTAAAAGAACAAGTCATGTTCTTTTGTAGTTGATGCTTTAACTGCAGTTCTTCATGAATAACAAACGTTCTCTAATGACAGTTTCACAGGTTTAATTCATGAAAAGTGTTATAAAGATATATTATATATGCAGGGTTTTCATGGCATTCTGCACTTATTCCTAAGTACCATTTGCAAGTTTTGTTGCCATTCAGTCAGTTTTTATAAAAGAAGCAGAACAGGTACGTGGCTACTGAATCACCACAATAAACTGTCAGTTACATCAGGTTAATGGGCATAATTTCTTGAATTAGTACTTACTTAAGTTATTATCTGGTGTATGTACTGGTTCCAGTTCTATCCTTTGTGCCACATTCACTGTCTGAGTATTAAGCTGTATTTCTGAGCTGCTGATAGTAAACTCAGAAAGTGACCATCTTACCAAATTTAGAACGTATTGCAGTTAGTCAAGGATTCTCATCCCAAATATATATATATGTACATACATATGTATGTGTGTGTGTATATATATATCTATGTAAAAGTAGTCAGCCGAACTTCTATTTTCTTTTGCAGAGAGAAAAGAGGCAAAGAAAAAGACTGATGTAAAGAAGGCTATGACTGAAACTAAAAAGAAAGGTATGGCTTGGAAATGTTTTTTATTGGCCTCATTCAGCTTTTAGTCTCACTCCTAGCTCAAATCATATTGTATTTTCTTAGGTTAAGACTATGCTTCTGGCTCTGTATTGTCCTTCTCTTAGTTGGTTAGTCACTATTTGCATGTTACCACTTCTTCAGTACCTGATGTCTGGTATGTTCAGCGTCCCATATTTTTTAAACTCTTTTTCTGACAAAAAGTCCTGTTTGGTGGTCATATATTCTTATTAAGCAATTTAATGGAGTCCCTATATATTGTAGGACATAGTGCTACTGCCAAGCACAAAACTCTTTGAAGATATCACTTGGTTTGTGGTACTCCACTTTCTGAAGATGGGGTAGATTGATTTATTTATTTTATAGAATCACAACCAAAACTTGCAGTGACCAAACTGCAAAGCCTTGAATATCCATCCAAATAATATTTTGGTTCATTCATTCCCAAGAAGCATCTAAAATCCACCAAGGTCTTGATTTCATTGGAAAATATTTATGTCATTCATCATTTTTTAATGATCTCATTGCTATTGGAGCTTAAGCTAAAAGGTACTACATTCATGCACTGATTGTCGCCTAGCCTTTGATGAATTATTAAGGGTCCAAATCATCCATAGTTGATGCATACTGATTAATTTTCATTTTCTGCTGATTGCTCTGTGGCTAGTTGGGTGCAAGTGCTATAAGGGAATAATCTGAACTAAACTCCCAAATAAGTCACATTTTTTTCAGCATGTGCCCACCAGGACTCGGCTGACTGCATATTTGAGTGTATGATTCAGAGTTCTAGCATATCAAATTACTTTCTTTAATTAAATCTTAGAAAAAGAAGGAAAAAAGGAGAAAGCTCATGAGAAGACAGCTGTCCCTGAAATTAAAAAAGAAGGTAAGAATTTGAAGTCTGTCTTTCTCTGCAGTAAATATCTGGCTATTTCATGTAAGAACTTTCAGGTTTTAAGCATTTGAGATAGGAGTATATGTAATTCATTATCACTTAAGAATTCAATCTGGAAGTATATATAAGGAGAGAGAGAGAGATAACTCACAGTATATTTATATATATATATATATATGTATATACACACATATGTGTGTAGTGTGTTTCCATTATATTATATATATATAAAGTCTCTTACAGATATTTTCTATATATATATGCATATATGCATGTGTATATATAATGCATGTAATTTTCAATTGTGTGAACTTGGGATTTTCACAAAAACATTAGAAACACTGCTTTCTCTTATACACTAAACCAATCAAGGTCATAAGTAGTTTCAACAGGTGAATAGCATGGAAAGACTAAATGGAGCGTATAGGTTTTTGCATGAATTATTTTAAAATTTCAGATAATTTTAAGTAATAAATAGAAATATCAACATATCAAAACACTTACTGTGGTAGAAAATAGATAGTTATCTTTCTGAGGCTTTATCCATGCCCAGGAAATACTTGTTTCAAAAGTTAAAAATAAAGATAGTGAATGACCTGAGCCTAATCAATCGTGTTTCATGCTATTTATTATAAAAAGATAAATTGTTCAATAAGACTAGAAATTAACATTTGGGTCCTTTCTACACTGAAATTGTTGTAATTTTTCTTTCCTATTATTTCAGTAGATTTGCAACTCTGTTTAATGCACAAATGTAAACATATTTCCAGTAAGTGACAAAGTCTGTGAAACTGTCTCATTAAAATCAAGTCTGATTAAAATCAAGGAGAAACAAAATGGTCGGTCTAGTGGTATTGTCATTATCTTGATACCTAGAAACACTGATTCTACTTACTACATTGTCAGACACTTTCTCTATAACCTTCTGCAAGCTATCAAGTACACAGATGAACCTTTCTGTAGACTACAGTAGCGCCTAAGACCATGGAGAAAGGTTTAGAGGACTGAAAGATTCAGGGCTATAGTTACTATGTCCTCAAAGCAAACCTTGTGCTCTGTTATCTAATCATTGAAGTCTGTTGAATTTTATCAAAAACTGAGAGGATATATAACCCATTGTTTGCTAACACTGTGAATTACATATGCAAATTTCAATATGCAACTGGTTTCTTTGTCATTGAGTTGTACATGGCCTATCTAAGGTTTCCTATTCAAGTGTTTATGGATGGGAAGAAAAATGTTAATTTATGTTTGGTGCAATATAAAAATAAACAGAATCACACAGAATACCTTGGAATACTATTCTGGCAACCTTGTATTTAAATACAGTAGTCTTTTATAGTAAGGAGTGGCACACTAGGGAAAGAATGGGGATGAAAGGGAATACTCTTTTCCAAGTTAAGTTGCATTTTTAAATGTAGAAACACAGATTTTAAAAGAAAATAAGCTGACAATTCAAATATCTTCTCTAATTTTATTCTGGTTCTAAGCTTGTATTTCACTTGAGAATACAGAATTGTAAAAGATTACATTTTATGGCAGAGCTGCAGCATAAAGTTATTAATATGTTCATCTTCACAAGCTGTTGCTAAATCCAGTGAGTCATCCTACCAATGCTGGAAAGACACAAATTAGACAAACCGAGACATCCACACATATCTGTCCCTTTTATTAGCTCTGTAGGTTACTGCATTTTGAAGAGTTTACTAGCCTTTGTGTAAGAGGATGGTAATCCATAATATATTCTAGCTACACATGTTGCTGTTATTCCTCATTCAGTCTGCTCTTTGAATACGTGTGTACTTTCTAGCTTTGATTGGCAGTACCTATTGTTATCCCTAAAAGGTTTTAAGCCTGAAATAATTGCCACATTTGATCAACAGAATAGTAGTGCATAGTCCAGTTTTGAAATGAGTCACCTCAATGCCTGATAGTATTTACATGCTTTGGGCAGACACAGCAAATGAACCTCAGAGCGCTTCAATCAGCAGCATAGATAAGCATCCAAAAGCAAGACTGTAGGAACAGCTTCCAATTTTCTTACCTTTTCCCATTAAAAGGGTAGGCAGAGGCCACTGCATTAAAAATAAACTCTTCACCCTGACTTTCAAATCCTCATGTTACCTCTGGATGCCCCTGATTTTGTGCCTCATTTTTCTTCCCCCAACCTTTACAATCCCTGAAGCCGAGGTGCGCGCGGGGAATGCTGCCTCCTCCTCACCACCTGCACCCCTCCCCATCCCGGCACCCTGGTCCCACCTCTGCTCCTCACCTTCACATACCTCCTCCCAGAAGACTCACCTCTGACAGGAGGCCCGTTAACCAGACTTATCCCAAAGAGGAATGGTGGTGTGTACAGGCTGTCAGGCACAAGAGAGAGAGAGAGAGCAGGAGGTGCTCACTAAGAACTAGGCGATAAAAACATCTCTAAAACAATGCTCTGAGAGCAAACACTTCCCTCTATTCCTATCCATCTCTTCCTCTAACAAGGAATGTTTGTGATTACAAATACTGAACATTTTTGCTGATTAACGTTTTAGATTAGGTCTTTGTCCAGAAGACAATTTTATCTCTAGTGTAACCAGAATGGAGTATTTTATTGCTCTCCATTAACTGCATCCTGTGATGTATTTGTTTATTTGCATGCCAGCTCACCCTTTCTCTGTTCCTCTCTTCCTCCATTCCTCTCTCTCTATTTCTGCTGCTGCAGAGGAGCAAGAGTCATCTAATGTGAAATGTTCCCAGTCTTTAGTACAGAGTGAACTGAATGATTCTTAATTAGCTTTTAAAAATGCATTGCAGATAAAACCACATTAATCCTCTGACCTTCAGCTCGTACAAAAACATTGTGTTAATTGTCCTGAAAAATAGATAATTCCATTGTTACAAACTCAGAGGTCTTGCTTAAACAAACATAATTGTCAGACACAAGGGTCTGGCACTGTCACACTTCAAAACATTTTACAAAAATCTATGCAGCGCTACTCTGGATAAAGAAGAAGCTGCTTCTCCAAATCCCTGCGAAGGGGCTTGCTGAGCCTCAGCAGAGACAAGCCTTTACCAGGCTCTCCCAAAGCTCTTGGTGGCTGGAACACATCGGCTTGGAGGGATCCAGCCTTCAATCTGATTGAGAAAGAGAACCCTCTCTGCTAAATCTTTGGTTCACAGCCCTGAAGAAAAATGAATATTCAGAGATTGGTGTTTTCAGGTACTCATGGTTTGCTTGCAGAGTGTTTCCTGACGGTCCTTTTCTCAGAGTGTCAACAAGTCTGGTGCTTCTCTGCTCCTTGTATCAGCTTTCCTAAAAATTCATGATGTTCACATGCAGCCTTTGTCTTTAAGTTTGATTGCTGCAAACTCCTTTCCCACTTTGTTTTAGTTCTCACAACAAATAACATAGGTAATAAATGAGCTTATAAAGCAATGAAAATGTCAGCCTGGATCATCACACCATTTCCTAACTAAAGCTCTGCTCAGCTGTCATTGATGATCTTGCCTTCCTGTTATTGCTGCATAATTTCAGATAATAATGGTAATAAAAACACCTCTATCTTGTGCAGCATTTTTTGATATTAAATCTTAGAATCACTTTAGAAGGGTAGTCAGTGCTTTTTCCTCCACTTGCCACACAGGGAAATTCAGGTATAGACATGTAACCCAGGCTATCTGTCCACATGGCTTATAATATAGATCTTATGAATGCCAGACGAATGTTTGCTGGATTAAAGATCCCAAACTTTTATACACTTTCATTATTTCCCTAATGAAAGTCCAGGAACACCAACCAATGCAAATGAAGTTCAGGAAGAAAATGGTTTTGCTTAAAAACATAAGTCCTGATCAGCTGGATAAGTGTTCAGGAATCCCCAGTCTCTGACTCTCAGTCACAAATGTTCTAACACTGTCAAAGTCAGGTACCTCCCTGAACAGTTCTGCTTAGCAGAGATAAAACAAGTCAAAATGTGCAGATGCACTCATCCTAGATCAGCAAGCACAATCTGACTTGTGTTTTGTTGTGTTGATACATGCATGCTCCCAACAAAGCATTCAAGCCCTTACTAAGACCACTACAGCCCCTACCTAAACCAGGGAGCTAGGTTGCAGTGGTTGCACACCCAGTGTCATGGATGCATCTATCATATAATAATTTTGGTTGGAAAAGACCTTTAAAGTCATTGAGTCCAATCGTAAACCTAACACTGCTAAGTCCCACTAAACCATGTCCATAAGTGACACATCTACATGACTTCTAAATACCTCCAGGGACAGTGATTCAGCCACTTCCCTGGGCAGCCTGATCCAATGCTTCATAACCCTTTTGGTGAAGAAATTTTTCCTAATATTCAGTCTAAACTTACCCTGGTGCAACTTGAGGCTGTTTCCTCTTATCACTTGTTAATTGGGAGAAAATACTGACACCCACCTTGCTACAACCTCCTTTCAGGTAGTTGTAGATAGGTCTCCCCTGAGCCTCCTCTTCTCCAGACTAAACAGCTCCAGTTCCCTCGGCTGCTCCTCATAGGACTTGTGCTTTAGATCCTTGACCAGCTTCATTGCTCTTCTTTGGACATGCTCCAGCACCTCAGTGTCTTTCTTGTGGAGAGGGGCCCAAAACTGAACACAGTATTTGAGGTGTGGCCTCACCAGTGCTGAGTACAGGGGGACGATCACTTCCCTGGTCCTGCTGGCCACACTGTTTCTGACAAAAGCCAGGACGCTCTTGTCCTTCTTGGCCACCTGGGCACACTTCTGGCTCATATTCTGCTGGCTGTTGACCAACACCCCCATGTCCTTTTCCACCAGGGAGCTTTCCAGTCACTCTTCCTCAAGCCTGTAGCGTTGCATGGAGTTGTTGTGACCCAAGTGCAGGACCCAGCACTGAGTCTTGTTGAACCTTATACAGTTGGCCTTGGCCCACTGATTCAGCCTGTCCAGATCCCTCTGTAGAGCCTTTCTACCCACAAGCAGATCAACTCCTGCCCAACTTGGTG